TATATTTTGAGTGTGTGTGTGAGAGAGAGAGAGCAATTATTATTTTAGAGTCACAACTTTTGTATAATTTATGATTTTTTGCAAAATATTAAATTATTAATTTCTATATAATATTAAACGGCTAACTGAAATCAAAATTTCAGTTAGAATTGAAAAAAATCGAGAAACTATTTTATAGATAGTTAAAAGTTATAAACTATATTGTTAAACCTAAATAAGTAACTTAAAATAACTTACAATACGAATAGTTAAATGTAATATTACATAAAAAATTATAATGTTATTTTTAAAAATAAAAACAGCGTTTGTTGTTCTGAATAATTACAATCAAAGAAACAAACCATATTCATCAAATAAATTTTAAAAAAGTTAAATTTCTGAAACCAAATTAAAATAATTAAGATTTTTCAAATACATTATTTTAAATAATTTACAACAACAATAGTTAAAAACAACATTATATATACAAAAATTATTTTGTTACATTTAAAAACAAAAACATTGTTTGATGTTTTAAATAATTACATTAATAAAAATTAAAATTTTAAGCAAATAAACTTTTTAAAATTAATTAATCATAACAACTATAAATATCGTTAGACCATATATTATATTTAATTTTATTCATGCGTAACTTAAAAATAGAGTTCATTAAGACAATTGACATTATAAAATTTTAAAATATGTCTAAATTATTAAATAATTCAAAACAAACAATGTTTATACAAACTTATTATAAGATTTATTATATAAAAGTTAACAACAATGTCATTGATATATTTAAAATACATATATCTGTAAAGATTTCAAATATATTGTTATATTTCGAGCAACGTGCGGGTATTCACCTACTATATGAATACGTATAAGGGAAATGATTATTCATATATGAATATAATGGTAGTGGTTGGTGGTAGAGGCGTTAGTGGTTGGTGGTTGGTGGTCGATGGTGGCAAAGGTGGCGATGGTGGTTGGTCACGATGGTGGTGGTAGTTGGTGTCGGATGAGAGGTGGTGGATTCATATATGAATATTACTCATCTTTCATCGTGTCGGTAGGACGAAGCATTTTGAAGCAAAAATAAATGATTGGCTGAGAATAATTCTTCTATTCTCAAACTTTTTTTATTTTCTCAATTGAACTTACATCTCTCTCTCTCTCTCTCTATGTTTATATATAT